GCTCTCACGAATGTTGTGAATATTCAATCTAAAAAATGATATCGCATTTATCGTAAAATTTAGTTGAGAGAAGAAACAAAAAGTTATCGTAAGCAAAAAAAAGTCAGCGAAGAAAAGATAAAAACGTTGAAATATTAAATGTAATCTATATGTATATGTGCCAGAAAACATTCACGCAATAGCGATCGTATTATGATTAATTCTGACCAATAGTTTCAATTATGCGATTGCCAATTCGAATCTTTAAGAAAACTTTAATTTCCCTCATTGTCCAGTTTGCTAATTTATAACGTAGAGCTGTTGAACAATTTCAGACATCGATGATTATGTTCGGAACTTTATATATTGATAATGACTGTGTTCGAAATTTATATAATATCTACTTACTTTTGTCAGTAAGTTTTGTTAATAATCTACTTAAAGTGAGAGGTACGAGTACATAAGCACACGTATAATAAACTAGCGAGAGAATCTAACAACCCCAATGGAAAAGAATGCTATTTTTTGCGTCCGCGTGATGTCAGTTTATTTCAAGAGAATATATTTAATTTGTAGAACGAGTCAAAGTCGGGTGCACAATTGTATTATAAGAATTTATTAATTTAAATCTTTTTGTATGGCATTTGTGATATTAATTTATTATTTTCTACGTCTCTTATTTATTATATTTATTTAATTAGTTAACAAACATTTCTTTGTAATTGTACATATAATTATACACCTATATGTCATATATTTCATATGGATATGTAATTTTTCGTATTTTGTTGCATGTTATTATTCGTTGAAACATTTTTCTATTTGCATTGTTATTAACGTCAGATATTGAAATTTTTGCGTTTTGTATTATGAAAGAAATTAATAAGCGGAGAAGTGAGAAATGAATTTAAAAAAATAAACGGAGAGAATAGTGGCTCTTGTTACAGTCACGTTTATAGAAAATTAGTACAATTAAGTGGCTGTTCGCTTGCACTGATCGAGGGTGTGCTATTAAAATGGAAATGTACAAATGTAAACCTACGATGGGTTCAGAGTACAAACAAAGAATGCGAATTGCACTATAACGATTAAAATGCTGGTATTGCATCTGGCACTGGATTATATATACATAAGAACAGCGTGGTAAATTTATCGATACGTGTAAAGTGCATTGGTGTATTTTAAAAACGGGTGAATCAGTTTGATTAAAGATGAAGTTTATTTATTTTTTTAGTCACATAAGTAGACTTCCTAATGATTTCCAAGCAAAAATCAAAATAAATATACTTCGTGTAGTACTTCAACATAAAAGCATTGTACAATAAACAGATTTTTTCGAACAAGACGATGTAAGAAAGCACCACGACACTTTATGAAGAATATAGGAACATGAAATTCTATTTGTAGAAAGTTATTACAATAGAAATAAGCTGAGAGAAACTGCTAAATAAGAGTCACAATGGGATGATATTAGATAAGATATATAAGGATTTACGTGATGGCAATTGAAAAAGATGATTTATTGTATTAATTTATTGTTCTTTTTTTTTATGTACGATGTATGTATACCTATAAATAATTAGAAACCTTGTTTTTATGATAAAAGTGACCAAAATACATTCTATTCCGATTCATTACTTAAACAGTTGTTTCTTTAAACAAAGTATTTCTCTTATTTTCTACTTTTATACTAAGAGATTCTTATTTTCATAAATTATATCTTATTGGAATATTTTACATAACGACACGTTGAAAAATATAATTTTCTCTAAAATATTTATTTGTATTATAATATATCAATTAATACTAAAGTGTAAAACTATTGAATTATACTGGCATTTAAAAAAAAGTAATGGCAATTAATGTATAAATGTTAGTCTTAATATATATAATATATATTAACTTTTAGAATCAATTCCTCAAATGATTGCATGCAGAAGTTTTCATTTGAAAGCAAAAGAAAAAAAAAAGAACTAATATCAGAATAAACAGACCAAAATTATTAATAAAGAATGTTTAAAATATAGATAAATGTAGACATTAATAAATAATTCTATTTCTATAGAATCTTCATCTTTACAATAAACTTTCACTAAATTTTTCAATGTGTATCTTCTTTATACATTAATTAATGTAATATGTATTAAAGCTTGTACATATGATACATATGAGAAATAAGGTAATATATACAAGTAATACTGATCGATTACAAAGTTTACAATGAATTTATTTAAAAGACTGAAATCCGCGTTAAAGGATGGAATAATATCAGTATGACGAAAGTTCTAGAGAGAAAAAAAAAAAAAAAAAAAAAAAAGAAAAATATCATCACAGCCGTTGATTTCTATTAACTGCTAAAAATGTAAAATCGTGCAGTATCATAAAATATTGAAACGTTTATTTAAAACACAAAGTAAAATGTAAATGTATAAAAAATCCGGATATTCCATGCACGATAATAATATGTATATATTGAAAAATAATACATACAAATATATTTTGGTATCGGTGTCAAATGAAAGTAACAAAATTTTTTTTTTTTTTTTTTTTTTTTTTTTAATTTTTAGTGTTGTGTTATCTGTAAACTTCCACGATGGACTTAAAAAAGAACTGATAAAAAAATAATCTCATGGTTCGAAAGAAATACTCTCTTGTCTGACTTAATACTACTTTTTTAATTTCAGCATTCTTAAATGTAGAATACCTTTTGTACATACATGTTAAGTAGCTATTGCTGTTTCCGACAGGTAATGAGTTATCATCATGCGTAAAGTACGAATTCAGCGCACGTTGCATTGTGACGAAGTATGCATTGCAGATACTCGACGATGGTTCTGGAACTCGCAACCGCGTCAGAAATTTAAAATTGCTCTGCTCCACCATACAGCTTTGATGTTGTTTCCCCACAACGCTCACGATCGCCAAATCCGCACTTTAGTCATCACGTACACTGCGCATATTAAATGAATTTATACATTAAACGAACGTGATTTTATTTACATTTGAGCGACAAATACACAATTGGTTGTTCTATCGAATCGCAATGATGCTACATATTATCTTAACCGTAATTCCAAAGAAACGTATCAGTATGAAAATTGATCTTTGAATGTACGGTAAATACAACTTGCACGTCCGATCCAAGTTGATGACAGATACTTCTTTATGCATAGACGTAAAGATTCAGTACAATTGCATAAGAAAATAATATGATAGCTCTCGATTTGTCGACGATCTGTTTCATGGTAAAAGAAGAGTCATATTCCTCGTAAAGATTCGAAAACGTATATAAAAAAAACTTGAATATCTGAGAGATGTGAATTATATACAGAAATGCGAGAAATGTTGATTCTGGAACTATAATTTTTATTTCTAATCCATTTTCTTTTTTTTTTCTTTTTTTCCTTTTTTTTTTT